GGGTTTGAAAGAGGCTGAGGAGAACGCCGAAGAAAAGTCACGTGGCTCAAAGAAACACTGACGTTAAAGAAAGGCCGAGGGGGGCAGAGGAGGGCGGGGGGATGCCGCTCCCTCCCGGCAGCGAACGAAAGGAAGACTTGACCAGCACTTTCACTGGGCTCAGCTCCCAAAATCGCTCCTGAAATCACAGCTGGACAGCTCAGGCCAGTTCTTGAAAGGATCTTAAATGTCTCTTATCACCATTAAACTCTGGCCTCGTCCCTCCTTCAACCCTTGAGCTGTGCGATTCCCCAGATGTTTCGGGTTTGAAATGTGCCCGGGTTTGTCCTTTGCTACAGGCACCACCCCGGCCCCCACCACCGCAGCCACCACCGAGCGACTCCGGCAACAGCACCCCTGTGCAGCAGGGAACGCCTAGCCCCATTCCATGGCGGGGGGGATACCATAAAAATGGAAAGAGATTAACCATTTGCCTCCAAATCAAACACTTTTGAAAGAGAGAGGGATGTGGATTACATGACCCAAAATCCAAGCATCACATGATGGCAAGAGGATCGCCCCCCCTGCCTTCTGCCTCCTCTCTCCGGTCTGCAGCGCCAGACTCAGTTGGAGGGGCACCGCTCACCCTTTGCAGTGCCATTTGAAGACCGCTCCTACTCTGAGGAAAGCTTTTGTGTACTGCGACTGTCGCAGCATAAATATTACATGAGGTTTTTGAAAGAAAAATCGAAAAGCACAAGTGCAACTCATTGCTTCCTCATTAGGGGAAAGATGCTTCCCTAAAACTAATGTCAAGTGATGAGGAAAAATCCCCCTTTTGAAGAAGTGATGTTTGGCAAAGCGTGGAAGGGCCGGCAGCAGGGATGCTGCCCGTATGAACCATCTCTGACTGCGTCGGGACAACAGCCACAAAACAGTGAAACAGGATTTAAAATATCTGACTATGCTTTGGACAGAGCAAAGTCGTTTGTAGTAACAGGATATTAAAAAAACCCACAAAGTTGATTTTGGAGTGCTCTAGCCTTGCCTAGGGCTGGGATGTGTGCCGCTCAGATGGGCAGACCTCCCCTATCTGTGTTTCGATGCAAACCCTATTTTTGCTGTGGTACACTGCCGGTCGTCTTTAGACTGCTGCAATTGTGGGCAGAACTGAGGGAAATCTCCACAGCCGACAAGGGTGAGCAACCTGAACCAAGGGAGACCTCCTTCCTCCCTCACGCGGGAACCACAAGACCAAAGGACAGAAGTCAGAAGGGGTTTCTGGGTGTTTTCTCTCTCTTTGGCAGGGCCTCCCCCACTCGGGGAGGACGCGGGGTGCACCCTTCACGGGCCGTGGGCTGGAAGTGAGGTTGGCATTAACCCAGTGCCCCGGGATTACACAGCAAATCCACTCTTCAAACTGATGGCAAAATGAAAATCAGTTTACGCTTAGCTGTTTGTTTTCGCAAAACCTTTCTCTTGTTAGCTCCTTACAGAATGGAAGTCTCTATTGCAACAGCAGCAACTGAACAAAGTGGGGCGCAGCATCGGGCACCACCAGCGAGCAAGAGTCCTCCTAAGGCATCGATTCATTCCCAACTTTTACATCCAATTACAGCGGTAGCAGAGCCAGCAGACTCGTTAGCTGGCTGCAGGCCACAAAAACGTTACGTGCTGCCAGTGTTATGGAGAGCGTTCCTTTGGTTTCACGTGTGAGGCCCTTGTAAATAAGTGTAACAAAACTGTACTGGTTGTAACTGACTTATCATGCAAACTCCTTGCGTGATCAAGCGTTCACGCTGCCATCCTGTAGGGTTACAGGACTGTGGTTCAGAATCCAAAGTGTACGAAAACGCTGGAAAATGTGTGCTTTGGTCCCTGCGCAGGTTGGTGCCCACCTCCACACAGAGCTTTTGCCCCCTGCTAGTGTTTTGATGATTTGATCATTGTAGTAAAACATCTTTATAATGACCAAGTACTGCTTAGGTCCCAGGAACTGCATACGCGTCAAACGTATCAGAGTCACAACTGCTACAAATCGCACAAAATTAATTTCCTGGGACCTCAACAGTACTCGGTCTTTGTAAAGATGATGATCAAATCATCAGAACGCTGCCAAGGGGCCAAAGCTCTGTGTGGAGGTGGGCACCAACCCGCGCCAGGGAGGAAGGCGCAGCAGCGGGAGCCCCGTGTGCCCGCGGGGAGCGCTCCGGGCGGGACGGCCCCGCTCACTCGGGCCTCATTCC